ATCCTACTTTTAATGAATCAATTGAATTTATTTTTATATGACACTATCAGTCAGATTCAGCAGAACATAAATAAATGTGTATTCCAAAGGATGTGCATGCACAGGCTTTTTAGATACAGTACAAATTAAATCCGACATGAATGCATTTTTCGAATAATAAAATAAAATGTCACATATTTAGTTCAAAACGTGTTCATTTTGTCCTAACTACAAGTTGTCATGCAACTAGTCGGTGCATACAAGTCTCACAACATGCACATTATCAGTTCGTGCTCATAACATGAAAGTAGTAACTTGCGAGTCAAGCTAATTCAGTAACTCTACGACTGATTCATAAATGTTTTTGATGCACTAGAGCCGACTCACAAGAATCATTCTTTGGTCGCGTTACATGTTTTTGATCCACTGAAAACAGGCAATTCATTAGAATTGTTCGTTCGTTAATCGTCAGAACTGCTCGTAAAGCAGGACTAGAAAATATTGTCAGAGTATTTTAGTAATGTGTTCCACAAAATCTGTCGGTGCGTAGTAAACAATGCGCAAGGGGTTAATTCGAGCTTGTGTGAGCAGCGAGCGAGAGAGAGAGGGGGGAGTCTCGCGGTTTGACTGTGTGTGTGTGTGTGTGTGTGTGTGTGTGGGAGGCGCCTCTGGGATACTGACGTCCGATTCACTCGTAGTTTGATTTGTCAACAGAGAGCTGGGCGTCCTTTCCCGCTACACAAAACGGGCTTCAATACAGAGCAGAGACGCCGAGAGAGGGAATACACACAGATATGTAGGCAGACAAGGATCCCGTAGCACTTTCAGTGGTCGACTCAGACCTCTGACTTATTTAACCGAACAACTTTGATTTACTTGCAACGTATTGCTTTCACTGTATTTGCGCGAGATCAAGAAATCGTGAGGATGCGATCAGAAAGAGGAAAAAGTCTTCGATTTGGAATATTTCGGCTGGACGGGCTTGTAAATGTGCCAGAGAGGGAAATATGCTATGGAAGCGTGTGAATTGAGTGACCGAGGCTTTTAGTTTCTAATTAAATCAAAGGGAACTGTTCCCCCCCGATACACCTGTCATACTCTGCAGACTGGTGGACGGACTTGCTGATGCCAACAACGCCAGATTGCCTATATGGCAGGATCATGAAGTTGTTGACGTTTTTTCTTTTGCTTCCAGAAACCTTAAAAAGGACAAGAAAGAGTGGGAAACAGCTCAGCAAGCTGCCAGTATGCTATGAAATCGTGACTTTGTCCTTGAGGAAGAAGATGGCTGCAGAACTCTTTCCTGCCAGCATAAACACCAACCTTCCCAACAGTAACAGCACAGCAGTAACAGCTGCCGGCAAAAAGACCATCGTCCAAGTCACTCAAACGGTGACCACGCCGACTACTACTGCCACTCAGCAGAACATCAACAATAATAACGTCGAGACTGCCAGCTGGCAGTCCACCCATCCGACATTGCGAGAGAGGTAAGGGCGCGTTCGGCTTGCTTTTCAAATAAACTAGGCTGTTATCGGTCCAAAAAAAGACATTCTATTGAATTTTGTTTCCTTCAGGAATGCTTTGATGTTCAATAACGAACTCATGGCAGATGTTCATTTTGTTGTTGGTCCTCCTGGCGCATCCCAAAAAGTTCCAGCACACAAGGTGAGCGCATCCTGCCGTGTTAAAATGCATCTCCTCCAGCGGCTTTTTCATCAGCCGTATGCTTAACCCCTTCTGTGTGGCATTTGTTTTGTTTTTTTCAGTATGTGCTGGCAGTGGGGAGTTCTGTTTTTGGTGCCATGTTTTATGGAGATCTAGCGGAAGGAGAATCTGAGATTCATATTCCTGACGTGGAGCCTGCTGCTTTTTTAATTCTTTTGAAGTATGTCTTGCATTTAATTCTAATGCAAATGGGTGAATGATGTGAAGTTGTTGTTTTTTTTCTGAATTCTGAAAAAAGAAAAAATCTTTACACAATTGGTTCACTCTTTAGGAATATTTGAAAACCTTTTTTCCGCCAAAGTAATTTGGTGCAACCAACATGGAGAAGAAAAGCATAAAATAGTTCCTCATGACTGTGTCGATGTCAATAATCTCTTAAATTTTCAGACAATTTTCTTTTTCTGAAAAAAGTTAGTTCAGGATATGAAATGTCATTTGGTGCAACTCATACCCAAATATCATATTTATGAATACATGATGTTTTTATGTACATTGAAAAATATATTTACATTTTTTTGACAATTACAACAAATATATTTGTTGAAGGTAAATATTACTTTTTACTTTACTTTGAGTCATCACATTGGAAATTAAATTAAATGTGTTTTTCCAAAACAAAATGAATCCAACATAAATACAGAGTACCCTTTTAAGATTCTTTTTTTTTTTTTCTTCTAAATCATCTATTATTTGTCATTGACCCATGCATATAACTGTAAACTCCATCACTAGTACAAAGCCTAATGCTTGCAAAGCTATTTGAAAGATATGATTTCTTAGCCCTTTTTTGTTCACTTTCAGGTACATGTACAGCGATGAGATTGAACTTGAAGCGGACACAGTGCTGGCCACTTTGTACGCTGCCAAAAAGTATATAGTGCCTGCACTGGCTAAGGCCTGTGTCACCTTTCTGGAGACGAGCCTAGAAGCCAAAAATGCCTGTGTGTTGTTGTCCCAGAGTCGACTGTTTGAGGAGCCTGAGCTGACCCAGCGATGTTGGGAGGTCATTGATGCTCAGGCTGAGCTGGCGCTCCGCTCTGAGGGTTTCTGTGAGATTGATCTTCAAACGCTGGAGATCATACTAAAGCGAGAGACCCTCAACACTCGGGAGGCGGTGGTCTTCCAGGCGGCTCTCGATTGGTCTGTGGCTGAATGCAAAAGGCAGGGACTGGGACCGACCGCTCGTAATAAAAGGGCAGTGCTGGGCAAGGCTCTCTACTTGGTTCGCATCCCAACCATGACCCTGGAGGAGTTCGCCAACGGTGCTGCGCAGTCAGACATTTTAACGCTGGAAGAGACTCACGATGTCTTTCTGTGGTACACAGCGGCTAATCAGCCCAAGCTGGAATTCCCACTGCAAAAAAGAAAGGGTCTGACACCACAGCGCTGTCATCGTTTCCAGTCCTCTGCTTACCGTAGTAACCAGTGGCGCTACCGCGGACGCTGCGATAGCATCCAGTTTGCGGTGGACAAGAGGATCTTCATCGCAGGTCTTGGCTTGTATGGTTCCAGTGGTGGAAAGGCAGAGTACAGCGTCAAGATCGAACTCAAGCGCCAAGGAGTGACCCTGGCCCAGAACCTAACGAAATTTGTTTCAGACGGGTCCAGCGGCACCTTCTCTGTATGGTTTGAACACCCGGTCCAAGTGGAGCAGGACACCTTCTACACAGTCAGTGCCGTGTTAGATGGGAATGAACTTAGCTACTTTGGACAGGAGGGTATGACGGAAGTGCAATTAGGAAAGGTGACCTTCCAGTTCCAGTGTTCCTCGGACAGTACCAACGGAACTGGCGTGCAGGGGGGTCAGATACCAGAACTGGTTTTCTATGCCTGAAATGTGCGTCCCATTGCAGTGCATTCCGCTCACTGGAATTAGGATGGATTGAATACAGGGTCTCGTGAGGCTCTTGCCTTCATTATGTAGCAGTGGTGAACTCAATGGTAATGACTCTTAATTACCACAACGGGCTCAGATGGAAGGAATGTTCTTCAGCTTTATTTATTGCAAAAAATATATATTTGATTTAATTATTGAAGCTGCAGCAAGCAGATATAGTTGTACTGCTCTGATAGTGGACAGAAGCCACTAGTGTGTCATGTTTTGTACATAACTTATTTGTTTTCAGCTTGATGCTGATTGACAAATAAAATGTCTTGTATTAGTGATCAGCTTCCTGAACTGCAGATTATAAATGTTTTTGTGACTCAAGTTCAAAGTTGTTTTGACTTCTTATACATGCACTCATGAAATACATCAATGAATAAACTAATGATTCCATTCTGCACAGCCCTAGCTTCAGAAGCGAGGGATGTTGAACTCAATTTATATTTTTAATGCCCTAAAAGTATACACTTTAAAATAAAAAGTATTTTCTATCTAATGGTGTGCAATGTGCATTATAATAACTAAAATCTGAAAAATGAAGCCACACTCCACAAATGCATTGGGCTTGTGTTAATGAGACAGTGATTAAGTGTGGATGAAATATTAATCTTGAAAGACCACATAAAGAACCTATTATCCCCAGCGGGCTGCACGACGAACTGAATAGGGAGTCTGTTTGAATTGAGCCCATAGAATCTGCTGCTACACCGTTTGCATTCTAATTAAGGCTTTAGTAAATATGGAGCAGATGCAGCTTGGTAAAACAGCAGATTTTTGACCAAAAAAAAACTCTACAAAACAGATGAATATGGAATTATGACACATGGAGAGCTGTTAATCAGACTGCATTCTGGGATTATGCCCAGTACTTTAACATTGGGGTGTTCTCTGGTGTATATTTGAATCATTTTGTCTCTGCTTCCTATAATCTGATGAGTCTGTTTTAAAAACTGCAGACATGTCGTGTTCTCGTAGTGTGCATAGAAGGTGGAAAAATGTTTGCGATGAGTATACCATAATGGATTTTTTGATGACGCAGTGCCCCCTAGTTACATCTGGCTGGACTGCAACTCACTATGAATATAATTTTCAGACAGGTAACACATTTTCAACCTGGGTCTGAATTACAGAATATTGCAGAAAATGTAGCTCAACATGCCTGGATGAAAGTACAACAGCAAATCTTCTCCCTTTTGATGCAACTAGGAATCCATAGGCCAGATCAGATGGACAGATTGAGAGTACTTGTATTGATCCAGCCATGCTGTATTATTGATAACCAATTTAGCAAGTGAATTGTTTTGAGAGATGCTGCCTGCTTTATTAATGAGGTTCATTCAAAAGCAATGTTCCGGTCAGCTGAATTACATTAGAAACGTCACAGAGAAGTCATTAAAGGGAGACTTACCGACGGCTGGAGCGTTGATACAGAGTTCTCTGGCCAACAGGAGGAAGGTCTTTCCCAGAATGTAAACATTAACCTACAACAATAAGAAATATAACTGAAAACTGTGAAGTATTCAATGAGTTCAACTTTACATGTTACCAACCACTGATTCTTGACGAGGAATTAAATATGTTACATAATTACTTCTCATTAGTCTTTATAAATAGCAACATTTCCACTTTAAAATGTATCAGAGAAGAACATTCTTAAATCCGTTGTGATCATTGAACCAGATTACAACCCAGCACTTTGTAGATATTTTAGTGAAATGATAAAAACAAATTTCCAGGATTCTTTGATGAATAGAAAGTTCGAAAGAACAATGTTTATTTGAAATAGGAATCATTAGTAATATAAAAATCAATTTACTTTAGATCAATTTCAGCATATTTAAAAAAAGCTCAAACTATTGATTATTTCATCCTTGATCCTTAGCTCAAACTATTGATCGGTAGAGCAGAGGTCTTCAACCCTGCCCTGGGGAACCACTGTACTGCAAAGTATATCCTAACCTGCTTCAGCACAACTGAATTTCACACCAATAAGATTTTCAAGCAAAGCCATGTGAAGACAAGCCTGCAACCTTAGCCAAAAACAAAAAGCTTACACTGAAGTATACAGAAAAGGAGACAAGACCTCTTTTTGAATGGATGTAAATGGAGGAGAGGCTTCACTACACTGAATAAACCACTTTTATGAGGAAATAGCTTATTTTTAAATGTATCGACAGCCCATTGGCTAACCTTCAACATGTTTGCTCATTTTGGATTAAATTGTGCGACAGGTATGCTTAGAGCACGTCTATGGAGTTAATATTGAGCCATAATTAAAGGAAAGGAAAGCAAAGGAAAACTCGACTAACAAACAAACAGAAAGCAATGTGCAAGTACAAAGGTTAATTTGAGCGGAAATGCAGTGGAGTAACGTTAATAGTGAGACAAGTTTGAGATCATTTGAGATTAATAGCGAAGGTGAAACCATTTCTGACCTTGCGTGATCTCGAAAAACACATTCATGCTTTTATATTTACAAAACTAGATTACTGTAACTCACTGTATGTCGGCATAAATAAACAATTGATTAATCGCTTACAATTGGTCCAAAATGCAGTTGCAAGACTTTTGACAGATACTCGTAAGAGAGATCATATTATCCCATTTTTGAGCACAAACTGCATTTGTGAGCGAATTTACCTTTGTACTTACACATTGTTTTCTGTTTGTTTGCGAGTCGAGTTTTCCTTTGCAAAGCAGATCGAGTTTGTTTGCAAAATGCTGGATTTGCTTGTTTAATTATGGCACAAAATTAACTCCATAGACTTCTAGTTCATTTCTATGGTATCCACAAACAGTGAATGACTGTCGCACAACTATGAACAAAATTCAATGAGGTCAATAATTCAATAACCTTTAAATGCATCATGCAAACACATGAGGAGAGTCTCTGCATGAAAGACCCACGACCAGTGCAGATCAACGTGCTGCTACATTTCTCTCTGAAGTGGTAGGAAATTAAATAAAAATTGAATGTGGAGGATATAAACTGTGACAAGATGATTGGCAGGGCGGTTTAAACAGAGATGCACGCACTAAGCGACATAGCGGTCTGTTAAAGACGCAATTATGACAAAGTAGTATGTCCCAAAGCTGTATAGTCAAAAGTATGTACTTTTTCATCATGAATTAGGCGATTTGGGATGCAGCACATCTGTTTCAAGTGATCCTTGAGAGCTTGATTAGTTTAGGTGTTTTGGCTGGAGCTAAACTTTCTAGGACAGGAGCAGGGTTGTGAACATGTTTATATGTGCACTTTTAACAGCACTCCAGAGATTCCATTGTGCTGATTAGGGGGTTATGACCTCAGCACCAGGTCCCTAGTTTGCCTGGCATCCAGGCAGGATATATTGGGGGTCTTGTTAGATTTGGGTGTGGCTGCACTTGCTAAAGATTCATGACATATTTGAGCCTCCGCCCCACCATCAAGTGTCTGTTCAATTCCAGATACAGCTCAGTGGACAGCTGAAGGTGTAAAAATAACATCACACCAATGCTTAAGCACCAAAATGTCTGACCCTAAAATAACTACTAATAAAACCTAAACGGTATATATTGTTATAAAGACAGTACTATCTATTGTTTCAAAAAGAACATGTTGTTAAATAAAGCAATAAGGCATTTAAAAAGCAGTTTTATGCTATTGTTGTAAAATCACTGGCCCAAGGCCTTGTATTGCTTGTCTTTATCAAGTGTCAACATCAATAAGATGCAATTCTTGTGCCAAGTAGTAGCTGGGTATGTGGGTACCAAAAACAATAATATAGAATTCATGTGCAGTTACAGGTGTGAGTATAACAGCTTCTCTCCTGAAATTTCCAATCAGATTTCAGAAATACACAATTTTGGCATCTGTATTATATCTATTGAAATGTCAAACTTATTGAAAAAGTGTGTGGGGGGGGGAAGCTGGCCTTTAAAATGAACAGAAACCATGCAAGTATAGAGGTGGATGGAAGCTGGATATCATAATTTCTGACATGATTTCTGCTTGCCATTAGACAATATATCATAAAGCATTTCTTTTATATGGTCAAATGGAAGGTATACAAATGGTTGAACATCATGCAACTTAGCAAAGCCGCTTATATTGCATTATGTTATTCAGAGTATTGTGGAAAATATATAAAAGAAATTTAAATGAAAGGGAGCAAACCTGTAAAAGATCACTCAGGTCCAGGAGCATGTCTGCACATCAGTTAAGGAAGGGAAAGAGAATGCAAAACAAATGGATTATATCATAAAAATGGTTAAAAGTGTGATGAAGATCTAAACATCTTTGTCCAACTACATAGCTAAAAATAAGAAGTAAATTATACTCTTAAATTAATCCTGGTCACAGTGATTAATTAGGCATTGGACAGCTCTGTAATTGTCACGGGAGGAGTTTCGACTTTCACTGATCATCTCTTTAAATCAATGGGCTTCAGACAAGATCTCCTTATCTCTGCAAGAGATTCACCCTGACCATCTGTTACTGCTCACCTGATTGGCACACACACCTGAGGCACGTGTCTTCATGGTGACTAATGCCCCCTTTAGCAGAGATTAGTATCATTACAAGACAAGCTAATCCCACTTTATCAGGAGTCTGACGGCCATGATCACGGCCTGGCATGAAAGAGAGTATTTATACTATTATGACTGAAATCAGTGATATTGATAACTGTCTTTATCTCTTCAATACTAAAAGACTCATGTCTCTATATGTTTTTTGTTTTTTTCACCAAGCAAACACCAATGTCGTCATAGTTCTGGCAATCTTGTAATTATTAACAAACCACTTTATTAATGCTTATGTCTAGGACAGTGGTCTCTTAATCTCTTTTTATTAATCATATTTACACTGTCTGAATCACTCCCTATCCCCTATATAGAGCACATGTCATTCACCATATAGAAAATAGTAAATGCATGAACAAGTGACCTATTTGAAAGTGATTCTATTTGATTGTGATTTGACTTCATTGTTCATAAATAATTTTTAGAGAAATATGATGCATTTTCTTAAAGGTTAAGGCTTTACCATATACTACAAGACTATTTGTAAGATGCATGCATTTAAAGGGCTCCTAGTAATTATTATACACTTGTCCAAAATAATTATGTGTATCATAATCACAAAGATGCATGAGATAATTGTAAGGATGTTTGATGAGGCAAAGCAGAACACATTTAAAAATAGTCCAGTATTTGGAATGGCTTTGGCAGTCTGTAAAGACTTCTTTGTGTTTCTGCCGTTTAGCGTGAAGTACCGAATCTTTGCATGCGACTGAAAGAGCCCCACCCAGGAACAGGTAACAATTCTCCTTTGGCAACTCTAAACGGTACACCAGGTACCCAGACAGGCCTGACGCTACACAAAAGCAGAGTGGAAACACTGGGTGTGACCCAAGAAGACAGATAGGAGGGTGCTTGTGAGACAGAGAGAAAGCAGTGGTGTAACCCTATCCAGGCATGCTGCGTTGTAACACAATCGTTTTGCACAATCATTTTGACAGGTTGGGGAAAAACAATCTTAAAATTTGTAACAGGGAAATGATATCTTCCTAAAAAAATCACTAGTCACTATGACTGAGTTCCATATTTTCACTACAGTAAAGGGGAGATGATTTTTTAGGTTAAAAGAGTGTCACTTCAATAGCTTTTGTACACAATCAGGACAGAAACTGAAAACCTTTTTTTTTTTTCTTTTAAATGAGGGAATAGTGGCTCAAATAGCGACTTGCTGGGCTTCTTTTCATGATTTCCTCCAGGGAACATCCTCTGAGATTCCAAAAGGTGCAGTAAACTCTCTTCCTCTTCCTCTCTTTTGCCTCTGACAGTATACTTTAGCACTATTGTTTTCACATCCTGACACATCCTTTCAGAACCTAAACAGGGTTTTCCCTAAGGAAAGTATGGACTGGTAAAAGAGACTATATTAGACCAGAATGAATTTCTACGCTGGTCCAGGTTGGTTTTATGCTGGTTTGGTTCTGTTCCAACTTCTGATGAAGCATAGAAAGGAAACACTTTATTTCGATTGTCCACGTTAGACATTCTAAAGTAAATTTGTAACTACATGTCATGTCATCTAACTCTCATTAAAGGAGCTAAACGCAAGTCTCTGAGTTTTTGCAGAACTACGCCCCCTCTGGCGACAAGCGAAACTGCAACCAGAGCTGTGCGCGTTCATGGAGGAACACACACACACATACGCACGTTTGCACGAGTTGTTCATAACCTAAGGAGCATTAGCCGCACACTGTGCGGCACACATCTTTTGTTACAGTCATAATGAGGTAATACAGTAATAAATCTGCAAGTCATTTAAAATATATGAAAGGAAAGGCATTCGAGTAAATTACACACTTATGTGTGTGAGAGGGGGAAACGGGGGTAGTAGAAAACTTCGGTTTTTGTTTCCATCTATCTCCCTGTGCTTACTGTATTCACTTATGATTGAATTATTATGGAAACACGTTCAGTTATCACTTTGTATAGGACCCGTTTGAGCCCGAGAGCAGACCGGAGATCTCTCCGTTTGTTGAAAGCTTCCCGATGTTGACTCTCGTCTTATTCCGACGCCTGGCACTGGACAGACTGAAGTTTTATTTTCTTTGTCTCACGCGGAGTTTGCGTTGGGGTTTGGAATGAACTACAAGCCGGTCTCTTTCCGCGCCATATACAGATATGAAGTGCACGTCACCGAAAGCAACAGATATGAGCTGGATTTTTATTAATCATCGGCTAATTTCAAAATCAGCAAAGACAGCAATAAGAGAGATCGGCAACAGGCCTGGTAGGATCATTTCATTTCTTTACTTTTAATGAAGATGGTAGTGTTAAGCGTCTGCGACTTACTTTCACTTTGATTTGCGATAGATTGCGGCGCGCCCCTGGTTTGATGAACAGGGGCTCAGCTACTCATCTGAGGTGATGCGCGTCGTCATATATGACTAAAATAACATGACATAACCTATAGCTTGGTTTCAACAACCAGATGCATTTACACTTGTCCAGTTTCGTCTGCAATGCGGCCTAGACCACGTCCTCATGAGCGATCGGATTCAAATCCGTCTCTAATGCGTTTCGGACGGCATTTACACCCTGGTCTTTTCACGATCGAATAGCTATCCGATCACAGAAAACGCATGAAGTGACCAGGTGTAAACAGCCCCTTTGAATCCATCGTCTACTTTTGTGGAAAGCTGACTAGAGTTGTCTTCTCTGATACGGCGGCGAATAGCTACACGAACCTGCCAGACATAGCCAGGCGAGCGCGAACGCGCATGACGTCACGCCCAGTCTCAGATTCGAGCCCGAATCCCTCTTATATATTTCACTGTACAGGATTATAGAGGCGATCGCAGTGATCAAAGAAGGGCTCATTCAGCCCATCAGGCGATTGTTTAAGCATGTGTGGGTTAGAAAACGGCTATTTTTAACATGAAAAGTTGCGCAATGCACCTTTAAAGTATTAGTAGACTGTCTGCTTAAAATCTGTTAACTCTTTATTTTGATGCGCCCCAACAGACATTCTGCTGACTATAAGTAACTTTGCAACTACATCAACTTATTCTACTTACCAGAATCCTAACACAAAAGCCCAACCTAACAGTCTACGTAGTACTAATATTCTAATGAGAGTTAAATTAGTTTAAACACAGAGAATACACTGGTCACGTGACTGTGACCTGCTTGATATTAATAAGTGTCTGACACACACATGTAAACACAGTCAGTTATTGTCTTAAGTGAACTTAAACAGAAATCATTTTGAGCCAATAGGATCCGTGACAGCAGCCTAATACAGTACACCTACTGCTGTCGGTCAAACGACAAAAGAAAAAGAGTAAATCACTTACTGACTGGATAACTTTTGTACCTTTAATATGAATCAATGTATATTTGATTAATGTGAAGACTGTTGTTTACTTGATTGCTACTGTTAAATAGACCTAATGTAGGCCTACCTGAAAACTTTAAAGCACTGTTTATTTTATTTGTTTCATTGTTTTATTGTATTTGTCCTATTGTTTGGATTGGTATGTGACATTACTTTTTATGTAATGCGAAAAACACTGCTCTTCACTTTCTGAAGTTGTAGTGATGCTTTCTTTTCCCAGAAAGAATGTAAAACATTTTATATACAGTATATATACTGTACATATTAGTTATATAATTTTCAGTTTTAAATATATTAAATATAATTGACATTTATTATATATTTATATTGAACGTTATCACACATTGCATTTTTCTTCAATATTGTTGATCCCTAGTTTGAGCTACAGGATTTTTGCCTATTAAAGGTCAAAACATTTACTCTTTCTTTCTAAATTGGCTAAATCCTACCTAATTTGGGTTGAATGTGCACACTTTTCTCGATGGATTACTATTCACAAAGAGTTTCACTTGGGTTTTACACCCTAGGGATCATTGTGGGAAGGATACGTGGCGTTCCCTCTGTCCTGCAGACCAGGTAGAGGCAGGCGGCTATGACGTGTGTCATCTTTCGCCCTCGAGTCAAGTGCTTGCTCACAACCATCTTGAAGAAATTAAAGGCCGTATCCAGGCAGTGCTGGTTCAGCTGCAGCTGGCTGCCGAGGTTGTGTATCTGCCGTTTCCCTAGAGACAGGACACACATATGCATCAGATTGAGCAAACATACACACATGCATACGCACACGCTTGCACACAGAGGCATGACTTCACACGCAGGTGTTTGGTTTTCCAGTAGCACTGATGTCATGAGAACGGTGCACAGCCAGACTGGCTTTTAGTGGAGCCTGGAAGTGAAAACGGGCAAAAAGACAGCTGTTTCATGTCTCGTTGGTGTGAGGCTACGTCCCTCTTCTCCATTCTTTCACAGTCGTACATTTACTCCTTCACAGATGATCTCAAAACAGGCCATGTTGTAATTCACTGGACACATAAATCAGTCTGCCCTTAAATCCCATGGCGGCCCTCGATGTGTTTAGCATATTAAAATCCACATTAAAAAACACAGTCCAATAGTCTATCTGGCAGAGTTCTGTTTACTTAATACACCATTTAGCAAAAGACCTTGTGCACCCAGACATTGAAAGTCTCCTACATTGTAAACAATGAGAAAGATTTAGGTTGCTTCAGATGGAGTTGATGAGTTTCACAAGTCGAGGTAATTTAATTATGTCATAAATTGCACACATAGACATGTTTATAAGAAACAAATGCTTTCATCAATCTGTCCTCTAAATGTACAAAATGTGTAAATGAATTCAGCAGATGCTTAAGAGTAGATGCATCAAACTTTTATTTAGCCAAGCGATTCACAAACCGAAGTCTATGGACCTCTAGAGGGCTGCCAGTGGGTCCAAGGAAACTTTCAGGGAAATATTTTTATTTCATTTTAATTATTTCGGCCCTATTCTATTTTATAAATACTGGTTGTAAATAATTTTTAATCATGATTTGTATTCTATTGACAGTTTGCCCAATGTGCATATAGTTTGTTAGATTTGTTAGAGTTTGTTTGCCTTTTAACTGTACTTTTCTATCGGATTTTGTTATCCCACTCTATCTATCTATCTATCTATCTATCTATCTATCTATCTATCTATCTATCTATCTATCTATCTATCTATCTATCTATCTATCTATCTATCTATCTATCTATCTATCTATCTATCTATCTATCTATCTATAGCATCCATCCATCCATCCATCTAATTTCCTAGGTATCAAAAAGTATGAAAACCCTTGCTTTAGCCTACGGTATAGAGTTAACATAATCACTGAAGCACAGATGTTAAAGTCGATGTTGGACTTTTTGTGTGGAACCCAAAAGCTGCAGTGTCAAGTGTCGTGTTGGCATGCCAAGGCCAAATATAACTCTGAAAGCTTTTAAGAGTGTAATCCCTCTATTCTGGAACCACTGTGTGCCAACCCGTCGTCACAAACTCCAGACCTGTTTAATCCCAGAGTATTTTTCACGCTGCACATGCCTTTGGATTAGCAGCCAGGTCTGCAGTGACCTCCCTAAATGACAGCAGAATTGCATAACTGCTGCAACACTGCAGGGGCATGAGACACCTTTATATTTAATGAATGAAATCTTGTGTTTGTGACCACAGGGACACTTTTGCCAGTCGGAAATGAGTTTTCCAGAATCTTTTATATTAACTACAACTAACAGCCAAACAATATATATATATATTTAAATTTTATATATATATTTTATATATATATATATATATATATATATTTATATATTTAAAATATGATCAGATGTTTCTGTGATTAATAGTTGAAGAGTCGTGAAGAATCATGAGTTTATACAGTTGGTGACCTTGATTCTCAAAGTATTTTATCGCTTCCAGCTCTGAAAATGCACCAGTACAGCAAGCTGTAATGGAACAATATGTGAATTTAATGCCACAAAGCACATCGTTCTCACAGTTCCTCTGATTAACACACAAGTAAATATTTACACAATGCAGTGCCTTATAGTTGTTAAATCAACACACACCTGGAATCCAAAGACATTCATCAGGGAGCTCTATGAAATTGATCAACAGTAATTATGCCTCGTGTGATTTTCAGACAAGCGCCGATGCAAATGATGTCAATTTATTTAGTGTTCGGGATTTAACCGGATTAGAAATTAATGTAAATGAGATAAGTAAGGGATAATGTACATCCTAGGAGCGGCATAAACGGTTGTCTTTCAAATTCCAAGGTTTTCAAGTTTGTTTTCAACTAGCAGGGAAAAGAGAGCCTAAGTCCCTCCCATAGACAGTGGTCCCTCCCCTTCCCGTCGACCACCATGGGACCTTATTTCGGAAAAATATTGGATGGTAGTAAATGGCGAGAGACAACAAATATTTTGATCTTGTTTGAATTGTGCCCTGAAATACACATATGATGTTTGTCAATTTAAAAGATACATTTTAAAGTAAAGAAAGTCACCGTTTAATGTAAAACCGTTGAGGTATAAGACTGTGAAAATACGTAATTACAAAGACTACAAACCCCACAGGCACACATTTTCTCTCAACGAATGAAGCTAACTTTACTAAGGCTAATGTCTGTCATTGTTTCTATAGTCTTACGTTATAATCGTAACATTATGCCGTCATACCTGAGTGTTTTGTACCAGACTGCACACATTCGCTTCCCGGGAGATGTAGTTCATTGAGCGATTTTCACATAAAACTGAATGTTACTCTTCTGTTTTATGACAAACTGTGACGTTTTTGACTTTCAGAATTATCTTTTAAATTGACAAACATCATAAGTGTAATTAAGGGCACAGTCCAGACGGAATAAAAAGATAAGTTGTCTCTCGCCATTGACTACCACACATATTTTTTCCGAAATAAGGTCCCATGAGCCGGAAGATTTCCTTAGATTTCCACGACGCATGCGCGAGAATTGCGATCTGAAGTAGTGTAAGCAGATTGCAATTCTCGCGCATGCGTCGTGGAAATCTAAGGAAATCTCGTTTCTGGCCTACAAGGAAGAAAAGAAATAGTCGAATAAACTCGTTATTTTTGTTTGTTTTTTTCGCACAAAAAGTATTCGCGTCGCTTGATAAACATATAGTTGAGCCACGGTAGTCACTTGGGATATTTAAACATTTTCTTCATTGACTTTCTGGGCCGTCAAGAGGCAGTCCCTTAGGAGCCAATGTGGTAGTTATACAGCTCTCAAATTTAATCAAAAATATCTTCATTTGTGTTCCGAAGACGAACGAAGGTCTTACGGGGTTGGTACAGCATGGGGGTGAGTAATTAATGACTTACTTTTCATTTTTGGGTGAACTAACCCTTTAAGCCCGCCCACTGACTCTACGGTGATGTGATTGTCCTGACTAAAGTTTGGTTTTTGGTCAGCTCGTCGCAAGCCAACGGAAAGTGGCTAGACAACCCTGGTTGCAAATTACATTTGCTGCCACTAGGGTGTGTCTAGACTTCTAGGCTAACATCCAGCTGGTGGTCCTCTCAAAATAACCCCCGGCAGGATGATAAGGACCCCAACGCAAGGTGGATGTACATTTTCCCGCTTACTACACTGCTACTTGCCACTAAATAATTAGACATAAAATATTGATCTGAGTTGAAATATTTTATTAGCTCTTTAAACGCTAAGCTTCCGCGTTGAGAGCAGTTGCAGCGGCAAGTTCAAACTAAACGGACATTTAAGAGATAAAGTATACAGTCATTTGTACCACTTATTACACAGCATTTTGCCACATAAATAATTATGGGGATAAGATATATTGATTTCAGATTAAACTGTTTTAAAATTGTACATCATAATTGTACAAAACAATAGTCACAAAATGGCAGCAGCTGTGTTTGTATGAAACAAGAGAGAGTGAGTCCACGATACTGGATGACATAATTAAATAACTGTACACAAAATATTGATTCGACTGAGTTTTAATATTTTATTAGCTCATCAAACGCAAAACTTCCACAACGAAAAAAACGTTCTTACTGTAGCAGGCGTATAGCACTGCAGACTTCAGTAACCTGGATGAGCCTGCGTTATCTGTTTTGCGCGGTTGTTATCTGGGAATAACTTCCCGTTGGATGGCGCTAATATTGACCAATCAGAATCAAGTATTCCACAGAGCCGTGTAATAATGAAACATAATATTGAAGCAGTATTTATCTATATACGAGAAGTCTGTGTGATGCATCTAATGCCATATTTGATTTTAATTTTAATTACAGTTAATCACTTGGCTTTGTTCCAAAAGATGTGGAATATAATGCAAAATACCAATGGGCTAATTTTATTTCACTCCTTTCCCCATTCACTTTACTTATGTGGAAAGTAGTGCCCAGGACATTCTTCAAAAATTCACCTTTTGTGGTGTCCAGAAGAAAGAAAGTCATACGGTTTTAGAACGGTATGTGTGTGTGTAAATAATGACTGGGAATATCACGTTTTAAAAAACATGATTATTTACTGACTGCACCTACACACTGCTGCTGACTAATATAAAGGTGCACCTACCGTTCTGGAGTGTCTGAGCACGCGATTCTTTTCCCAGACTTGTGTGGAACCCACTGCCCAGGACCGGAGCTTTGGAAGTACCTAAAAACAAAAACAAAGAAACAATGTATTATGTTTAAAGTATCAGACAATGACAGTAAATAACAATAGTTTTGACTTACAGTATATAAACAGGTGTGCAAAAACAAGCCTATTATTACAGGTGACAATTTAAGCTTTGTAAATTAAGGTCTATAGCACGCCCCAGTGGCTGTTTGTGTGAATGGCAGTTTTATCTTTGTATTGTTACTAGTGACCCCTACCAGTTGCCAATGTCTACTGCACTTCACTCTACACATGTGTTCCTATTAACAACCAAAAGGAATTGATTGACACCCCTGAGACTGATAACCAAGTATACTGATAAACAAGGAAACTCAGGAGAGTGACAGGACGATACAAATTAAACACAACAGTATTTCGCTTGGCCTCTATGTAAAATATTGCGCAATTATATATTTCTCCAGTTAGTGCTTTGGTCAAATCATGGCACTGAACGTTAGCTTCTGCTTTGGGTATGTTACTGTGAATATACAAAACTATTCCATATCAAATCACAAAACTGACATGCAGAACTAATGACTGTGCGAGGTGTTGAGTCTTGTATAACATATTTAAAAAAAAGTTGAAAATTTTAGCTTGTTATTGAGTTAAAGCAATGTAAAAACATATGTTGTCATAACTTATTGATCATTTTTTTACAGTGGAAATTAAAATTACTTAAAACTGAAATATGAAATAAACGAAATATTAATATCAAAATATTAATAAATGGCATAAATAATATTAAAATAACATTGGTATTCAGCTGTATTTAACATTTAAAATGATGTTATCTGATGTTCTCTGAACTAGGTGACGGTAGTGAGAGCTACACCCTGCACATCCGATAACCGCACTACTGAAGAAGCCTGGCTGGCTCATCTTGCTTTAGTAATAAATCCTGATGCTGTGATGGCATATGTGAACTTGTACGGTTTGAATTTCTCAGTGTTAGCTCTGCATCTCCACTTGTAGGCCCAGCGATCTGCCATCTCTAATGTTCATGAATCAGGCACGCTTGGATGCGATGTTGATTCCACTCCAAAAAGGGTGGTCTTTCGCTCTTTCGCCGTCATATTCAACAGTCACAGCAGGTGAGATTAAAATTAAAGTGATTGTTCACCCCAATATGAAAATTCTGTCATTAATTACACATCCTCTTGTTGTTCCAAACCTGTATGATTTACTTTCTTTAGTGGAACACAAGAGAAGATATTCTGAAACATTTCTCGGTATGTTTTGTACATACACTACCTTTCAAAAGTTGGTCGGTAAGTTGTTTTTTGTTTTTGTTCACCAAAATTGCATTTATTTAACCAAAAATACAGTAAAAACGGTAATATTGTGAAATTTTCTTACTGTTTTGTATATTTTAAAAATGAATTTTCAGCATCATTACTCATTACATCAACTTCATTACTTCATTACTGATACTTTGAGAATAAAATAAATATCTTATGTTAAATATCTCTTATGACATTATCATTTTTTTTTACATTCACTTTTGTCCCCAATGATTTGAATACTATAAAATGAACATCATAGTGGTCCAAATTTGCATTGACCCCAATGTTCTTCTATCTATACACCTTATTTTTTACGTAAGAGTGGGTGCGGTCAAGCTTGTACAAAACGGCTCGCTACGGCTTGGTGCTGTAAACTGGTATTTTTCATATTTTAACGTAATCATCTGTTTCCTGCGTTTTGTTAATCTGAAGGGGTTGGATTGGAATCCACTGCAGCTTCAATGTATATGTAGAGTGATTAATAATCAAAGATAAGCATTTCTACATAAATCATTTCTTAATTCATTGAGTGATTCAAATATACTTTTAATCATTTGCTTGCTGTGAGTGTTAACCAGCTGCTTTTAGGTACATTCTGATGTGACCCTCAACATATGTTGTCTATATATCTGTTTCTAGCTGACGAGTTAAAGTTACAGTAGTCCAACTATAAATTATTTCATCTGATTTATAGAACTGTACCTCTTTCATGTGTATTTCTCAAGAAACTACAGTGAGTAGTATTATTACTTCCTGAGGAGGGAATGTATCAGTATGTTTTGGTAGTTTGTCCTGATGTATCGCAGGCAATCTTCAACCTTGGAGAAGCTGTGATTCCCTAGTGCTTTTGTGTGTGTGCGCTGGATGCTCTGTGCAGGTCTTGTATGAGCTATGGGACACTTCGACATGCAACAAAAGACCCGTAGACGCCTTTCCCCATCCTCTGAGGTCACCGCAGACCTAAATCTAAGAATTGTGCGACAAATATACTAATGGCGACATAGTCTCCTATCTTTCCACGTGTCGTAAATTTGCTTAGACCATATGTGTTCTTAGCCAATCAGAAACTGCAACCTGAAGCAAGGACGTAGCTTGGACCTTGGTGTAGGGTATAACTGCTGAGATCTTTGTAACTGTAGGGGGGCGGCCTATGAACTCCTGCGAGTGTAGAAGCTGACTTCTGCAGATGAAACTGCAAACTATCTTCTAATTGAAGTTGAACCACTCTTACCATCTGCAGATACAAACTGGCCAACTGCTGAAGACACCCCTCCGCTGTTTTCCACAAACTGAACCTCAGAAACGATGATATTATCCTCCAGAACCGAACCACAGGCTGTACAGACCGCACTCCCCCGGGATGGGTCTGTGTCGATGTCTGCTCCACCACAGTTCTTACACTGACGACTCATACTGGCAGGAAGATGCAGACCTGAAGAAAACAACATGTACACCATTACTGAACAAACGTTTGGCAAACACACACATCATCTCGTCAGTTTATTATCATTCGGACAGCATAATAATAAGATACTTCATAAAATTGTATCATAACATGTATTATTTCCTATACTATTTAGTAGTCAAATAACTTGCAGACCGGGATTAGAACTCGGGTCGCCGGGTTGCAAACGAAGCTGCTAGTCCGCTGTGCTACTCAACAGACTACGCGCCAGTGAGACACAATGCTCACTTTACCTAATTTCACCATCATTCATAACCTAGTATTTATTTATATATTAGGATTCATTTCAAATTAGCAGTATCTTTAATGTATATTTCTAGTATATATAAACCCTGCCAAGCTAATGTTTTGATATGACTTGTGAACATAATGTTACGCTACAAAATGAAAAGCTAACGCTAGCTTGTTACAAGACCTGTATGATACTACCGTAAACATATTACATAAATAACGTTACACACAGCACAATGTATCGCTTTATTTTTTATTATTTCATAATATACAGACGCGCATAAATATAACTTAAAAACAATGTTATGTTGTTAACGTTAGCCTTCAATAGCAATCCACTCACCAGTCAAAGGAAGTAAAGACTTGACTAAAGATCAAACAGTTTAAACCGGTATCCTTTACAGTCCTGTTTATAGTTAGCTTTTCACATAAACTATTTAATTGACAAACAACGCATTTCATTGAGCAACATGTCTAGAATATATGTTAAAATATTATCTAATAACACCTAACAGTTGTGACTTTAAACCAAGGCTTTTTCTACCCAACTGGATACGACATTATGGGCTGTTATAAAAACTGAAAATAGAGGGGTGGCCACTATACAACAGTTCTTTGTTTAGATATTTTGATGAGTAAATTTCACTAATATGAGCAATTTATGCCATAATACATGTTTTATAGAAATATTAATCATTAATGTATATTTATTACAATCTCAGTTAATCAACAAAGTTAAACGTTTACACTCCAACCCCCCCATTTTTCATGTGCACTGGGCCAGTGGCGGACCCCGGTCTTAAAGCGCGATAATATGAAGGGTGGGAGTTGTTAAGCCGATACTTTATTGCACTCTTTCTCTTATTGACTTGCTAAAAAAAGTATTATTATTATATTTATAGTCATTCGTCTGTATTTACTATAAAACCCGACAAATTAAAATAATAAAATCATCGATTGGATTTAAGACTTTAATTTTGACAGAATTTATAACAACATGTTGACCAGGAAGTAAATGGTGCGCTGTTCAAAATGTGAGCTGAGAGGTTTAGTGAATTAAAATAATAATTAAACGTTATTTTATTAACGTTGCGCCGTTTAAATGGAGATTCACGGGATGTGATGGAGTGGGAACAATTTGAGCTAAATCCAAGGATTATTGCTGCTGTTAAAAAAGGTTGGCAAGAAATCACGCTCGAGTAACATTCAGTCTAAAGTTGAATTCGCTACTCGTTTAATTTTGTTGTTTTTATTGTTTAGCCCATTTCAGATCAGCGAAGGAGATCCTCTGTGTGTCTGGTCCAGATCTGCAGAGACTGACACGCTTGTCAAAGACTGATGTCCTGCGCCTTCACTGTGCAGTAGCAGCCGCTGTGCGCAAGACCAGCCCGGTCACAGGTGGCCTTCCATTATTACTGCAACAGAGAATCCGCAATTGTTGAGGCAAAACTCTTATTTTAATGTATTCTCAGCTCTGCAGCTGATCCGGGGAGAATGTCCTGTTTTGGAGCCCGGACACAGGCTGTCTTTGGCCTGTCCCGTTCTGGACGGTCTGATGCGCGGTGGTCTCCCGTTACGAGGAATAACAGAAATGGCAGGAGAGAGTGCTGCTGGGAAAACTCAGTTTTGTTTGCAGCTGTGCTTGTCTGTCCAGTATCCAGAGGAAAACGGAGGGCTGAACTCAGGTAAAGACGCGGAGCCTCAATTTCTACCCAATAAAATAAATATTGAATTGCATTTTAAAGGGATACTCCACTTTTTTTTTTTTTTTTTTGGAAATAGGCTCATTTTACAACTCCCCCAGATTTAAGCAGTTGAGTTTCACCGTTTTCAAATGCATTCTGCCGATTTTCTGATATTTAGAAGAATATGAGTAACCAGACAGTTTCTGGTCTCATTGACTTCTATAGCAGGGAAAAAAATATACTATGGAGGTCAATGAGACCAGAAACTGTCTGGTTACTGATATTCTTCTAAATATCAGAAAATGGGCTGAATGGATTCGAAAACGGTAAAAATCGTTGTAAAATGAGCCTATTTCCAAAAAAAAAAAGTGGAGTATCCCTTTAAGATGAAAATAAATAAATTCCAATGTCCATCCAATACTATGTTAAAATACCCTCATATATCCAGGTTTTCCCAAGACTGGAAATTCCAATTATTCCAACATTGATAAGAAGGTTCAATAAAATAAAGAATATCTTGATTTGTCTCCATGTGAGGCCCAGCCCCCTGATTGAGAACAACAGCAAATAGACATTTCAGTATCTTGTCAAATCTGAGCACAGTTTGAGATATGTCGTCTGAAACTCTTGTGGCAACATGTGAGATTACTAGGTTAGAGGGAGAGTTAATCGTTTTGACAAATCTCTAGTGAAATATTGTTTTAAATCACATTTTATATTATGGTCATTTAACAGGAGCCGTTTATATTTGCACTGAGGACTCTTTCCCCATCAAACGACTGCGGCAACTCGTTACCCAGCAGTCCCGGCTCAGACCTGATCTGCCTCCAGCCCTGATCCACAGCCGGCGTTTAACTGACAGCATCTACATCGAGCATGCAGCTGACCTGGTAAGACCTGGTAGTTTACCCCAAAAATGAAAATTGTCAGTAATTACTCAACCTCACGTTGTTCATCCAACCCCATAAGACTTTCTTTCGTTCATCTTCGGAACACAAATTAAGATATTTTTGATGAAATCTGAGATCAGTTTTGATGAAATCAGCTGCATCAGTCCTCCATTAGGCTGCTAAGTTCTTGCGAGCCAGCTCTCAGATTTCATCAAAAATGTCTTAAATTGTGTTCTGACGATGAACGAAAGTATTACGGGGTTGAAAAAACATTAGGGTGAGTCATTAATGACATACTAAGATATTTTAGATTTAGTCCGAGAGTTTTCTGTCCCTCCATTGAAAATGTGTACGGTATACTGTCCTTCTCCAGAAAGGAAATACAGAGTGACATCATCAAAGTAGTCCATGTGACATCAGTGGGTTAGTTAGAAAGTTTTGAGAATGAACATTTCATTTTTAGGTGAACTAACCCTTTAATGCTGGTGCTGCATATGTGAGCAGGACGCTCTGCAGGTGTGCGTGTCTCAGCGTGTGCCTGTGCTGCTGAAGCGAGGTCTGGTCAGACTGGTGGTGGTGGACTCCGTGGCTGCTCTGTTTCGCAGTGAGTTTCAGGCTGATGAGGCTGTGCAGAGGTCACGTCACCTGCTGGCTTTTTCCAGTACACTCCACCGCCTGAGTCATGCATATGGCGCACCTGTAGTCTGCGTCAACCAGGTCAGACCGGCATCTGACTTCTTACATGTAACCAGAGATATTATATAATATGTGCTGTAAACGCTATAGACCTTTTCATTTGAATTTAAATAACACAGAAATAGTTCTCATGATTTTTATCTATTCCAGGTTACAGATGTTATGGATGGCCCAAATCCCGGAAGGTGCGACTATGGGTGAGTGTGTTTGCCTCAGTTTTGGCAGCAGCAATAGAGCCAATGAATATATAACAGCTCAGCTCATTTTAGGAGACTTAATGTAATTACTAGAGATGTGTGCCACGACTAATTTCATTAACGTTTAAACATACATTTTGTTTATTTATTTGATATTTAACAATAATATTGTTAAATATTAAATAACCCCAACTAAGCAAGCCAAAATGCCGCTAAAAAAATATATGCAATGTGCTTGCCTTGCATTAAAGGGATAGTTCACCCAAAAATGACAATTCTGTCAGTATTTACTCACCTTCATGTTGTTCCAACCCCGTAAGACCTTCGTTCATCTTCGGAACACAAATTAAGATGGATCACTCCTGCATACTAGTCCATAGGCTTCTTGAGGGATTGAAACTTGCTGGCCTCAAAAAGTTATGAAAGACATCATTAAAATAGTCCAAGTGACTACAGTGGCTCAATCTTAAGTTTATCAAATGACGAGAACACGTCAAAAATAACGACTTTATTTCAACTATTCATTTACTTCTCTCTGTGCCTCGACTCAGGTTACTAGTTTAACAGCGTATGATCTGTTGTTGTACATCACACGCATCACACACATGACCAGCGTTGGCTAATAGTGAGCCTACGTGTGAAAAAAAAAAACTGTCTGAGCTTTTGAAGCCCTCTAATAAGTCTTCTATATCTTTACATACACAGGCTGGTGGGCAGTAAGGTGCTTCCTGCACTGGGCATTGCTTGGGCCAACCAAGTGATGGTGAGACTCATGCTCACAAGATTGTCAGGACAAGTCAAGTCAGATAACCGAAGTTGTGCTCCGCGTAAATTAGAAGTGATCTTCGCCCCACACCTCCCTCGAGCGAGCGTCCTGTGTGGGGTTTGGGAGGAAGGAGTGAGGGGGATCCCTGATCACGTGCTTCATGACGAATGATCTGCAGATGAAGGAGACTACATTCACATCAGTTTGACCGTTAACAGCTGCTAATGGACACAAATGTTTTTAAAGCACATTTTGTTAGGAATGGCTCATTTTTACCATTTGAAATGAATACACATTATTATTAATATAATATTCTCACAGGTATTAGGTGCAAATAATTTTGTAAAATAACCCTATTTTATAATACTTTTACTTTTTTTATTATTATGCCCTTGAGACACTGAATATATGTTTTCCGTATGTATGTTGTTACAGTTTTCATACAAAAAGAGTTCCAGTGCAAGCAAGTTGAATAAAGGCTAAACACTGCCTCAAAACCACCCTTGAAGAGAACACGCCGTTTTTTCTACTATTTCAGAAAACACAGTAAACTCAATTTGCTATAGAACTGTCTTGATCAATCTTCTGATCTACAACACTCAAAATAGCATTAACCATGTTTATATTACCAGTTGGGACTATAGCATTTCAAACAGAAAGTTAAATGCAACATTAAATATACAATAAAATATGTATTGAGGTAGTAAAAGTACAGATTTAAAAAAAAATGAATTAACAGTGGTACCCATTTTCTGATCCCGTTTTGTTTTATCATTCTACCAGCATTTCTATGTTTGGGACCCGTTATAATTCACCTGTGACTATGAGTTTTGACCAGCAGAGGGGGCTTGGTTCTCACGAATATAGAAAAACCTGTACACATTAGAAAAATCTGATTGCTGTACTTGTTTTAAAGGGATACTCCACTTTTTTGAAAATAGGCTCATTTTACAACTCCCCAGAGTTAAGCAGTTGAGTTTCACCGTTTTCAAATCCATTCAGCCGATTTTCTGTTATTTAGAAGAATATGAGTAACCAGACAGTTTCTGGTCTCATTGACTTCCATAGTAGGAAAAAATATATACTTTGACAGTCAATGAGACCAGAAACTGTCTGGTTACTGATATTCTTCTAAATATCAGAAAATCGGCTGAATGGATTCGAAAACGGTAAAACTCAACTGTTTAACTCTGGGGGAGTTGTAAAATGAGCTTATTCCCAAAAAAAAGTGGAGTATCCCTTTAATGTCTGAGATTGACATCTTTGTCTAGCTGGTTAGCAGAGCCAGCATAACCAGCTAAACCATTTAACACTGATGACCATTCAAAAGTTGCATACATATACTATATTCTGACTAAATAAATATTTTTATAAGCAAAATATGCTGTTCAAAAAGTAAGATTTTTAATGTTTTTGAAAGAAGTCTCTTTACTCACCAAGGCTCCATTTATTTATCAAAAATACAGTTATATACTTTTACATTATAGCATTATAAATGTCTTTACTCTCTTTTATTCAATGTAATGCATCTTTGCTGAATAAACATTGATTTAACATCTTTCCGACACCGATCTTTTGAACAGATTTTTTACCAGTGACCAATTTTGGATTAAAGTGCTCTTATTTTATCGTAAATGAATGATGTTTGATGCATGCTGGTCCTTTAGGAAGGACTGACCATATGGGGAATCTGTGAAAAACCCTGAGTCATGCAACTCCATTTCATACTATTTTGCATAGTACATTTATTTATTTATTTTGGAGCGTACGTCGTCTTGAGTTGCACAAAAATGCCTGGTAGTGATTAAAGTCCAACTACACAGAAAGGAGTTTTTGGATAGGCCTAATCCTTCCAAGCTACTTAACACACACACACACACACACACAAAGTCCCTTTATCAACATCAGAAACCCGAATGTTAGAGCACACACAAACAAACGCACTCATTTGCAACCAAATGCTGTGAGCAACCACCACACTTGCCTTTGAGCCCGTCCTGTCACCATAGCGACAATCACATGGGCTGTCTGTCCCAGATTGTTTGACCACCCCCACCCTCAGGAAGACAAGAACCTCTCCATCCATCGCACTGCAACGTCAATCAGCCCCCTCCCATGTCCCATCTCCTGCTACAAAACACACACACACACACTTTCTTCCTTCCTTTCAGCTGTTTAGTGCTGCTCTGATGAAAACCTCGTTATGTAACTCCGCCAGTCCTAACGGGCTACACACACACACAAACGCCCACATCTGCCACTGTCGGCAAAATGACCGAGAGCTGCTCACACTTCAGCATCCGCACTTTAAGCATCCGGATACTGGTGTGTCATCATCAGGCAGGTTGTTAGTATGCATCCCACGTCTACTCGTCTCAGTGCAAAATAGAGACGGATGCAATGACTGCAGGTTGCAAGGCTCTCCCCCCTTCCCCCCTTATAATAATGCATATACGGCCATCTTGGGAAAGAGAAGTGGGGGGAGAGAAAAAAATGGATTCTTGTGTTAAGACCTGAGGAGGAATGTGGAGCATGAGCAATGATGTGGAAATATTCGCTGAATATTATATTAGGCTAAGGAATATAGAAACACAGCTGCAATAACACAATGCATACATAGAGGGTACACGCTATAGCATATTTACACACAGACCCATTTTACTATATTAGTGAGGACATTGCATTTACTTTATTGAATTTTATACCTATGGCCTAACCCAACCCCTACCATAGACCTATACCCAAACATAGAAAAATGTGCAAAACACTATAGATCACTATAGATTGTACACTATAAGCCTTTTTAAATGCCCTCACAGTCAGGTATTATACTATTTCACTATAAGTGAGGACATTTGGTTCTCACAGGTAGACATAGTAGGCCTACACACACAGAGATATGAAAAACACTTTATATTAGATTTACATTCAACAACACTTACTTCAGAGACAAGTATATATACGACAGCTCATTGCAGTGTCTGCAGCTCAGTCCAAAACTCGATATGCCTATAGAATAACAAATATTAGACAACAGGTAAAACAACTTGAGGAATTCGTAACATTCATTACAATTAATGTTTGCCCTCATTTGTTAAATCAGATGCATGCTCACTACTCAGACACAGAAACAGATTTTTTCCCAGGTTTGGGATCATTTGACTAAACTAAGGCCTTTTCCTATTGCAGAATCTAATCACGTCCCAACTCCCATCAAATGAGTCACAGCTGCACTCCAAAACCACATATGTGCAAGAATGAGAGCACAAAAGATATATGTGGTGAATATGAAAAGACATCGATTAGCACAAAAGTCAAACAGAAAAAACGAGTCTGATGGCTTTTGTGGCAGGAAACAGGCAGCAGCTGGTCGGTTGCTAAGACGACCAGGATTAGTCCTGCCTGCGCCATTGGCCCTCGGCTGCACCGCAGACTCTTTCTCCGAGAGTCTTAACCCCAGAAACATCCCACCATCCTTTATATCACATCATTATTGTCAAAATACACAAATATTTTATGTAGATCAATGATTGTGCGTAGTCTGCGACACGTACTACCTATAAAGTCAACTTGTCAACAAAATTGATGTATTAACAGAAACAGAGAACTAATAATAACTGGCTTAAGAGGGAAACAAAGCTCTATATATCAGTATTTTTATACATTGTAATAGGAAGAAAATGTAAACAAACACAGAGAGTGAAAGAGGATAGTATGACGTCATCTGTATTGATGCAGGGTGCAGTAACACATCCCCACCACAGGGGGAGCAGTGAGTTTCAAATGAGACGAACTATCAATAGGCCTACAAACTGTTTTACAAGCTTTTTATTTTGTTACTCGTTAAATTAGAGGCTTTAAAGAGCTGTAAAGAGCAAACTACTGTCTATATAAAGTATCTGTGACTTAAACACAGCTAGCATGACTTGACAAACAAGCCATTTATAGCCTGTCCAGGCAAGATTCAAGTTGACTAAAAGAAGTCTGCATTAATATCGAATTGTTCTGTTGCTTTTTAAATTCATATTGCATTGGAAATAAAATAAGTAAATGAGCCCTGCAGATCAGCAGACATGCCACAGGGTGCAGGCATGGGAAGTCCTGACTGAGGGTATTGTGCAGTGGCAGATGAAACAGTTTGAGATACACAGTAGTTTTATTCAGAAAAGCAGGCAGGGTTGACCCGTTATGCAGATTTTGTTGACCCCCTTCAATGAACTAGGTCACACTTTGTCATGGAAGCAAGGAATTTCATTAAAAAGAGAAACGAATAAACATCATGTACTGTCAACAACTTGTGCACGTCGGAGAAATAACTGAATTTGCTAATACTGAGTTCAGCATTGCTCAATAGTGCATTAGTTAAATACCTTAGCTTTTCCCCGCTCTGTCTTGTTTTTTATCATTGTCAGGCAAGACCAGACATTACTTCCAGAACGTTTTGGGAAGAATCCGTAATGAGACAGAGGCATTGTGGCAAGGAGGCATCTCCATGGTGACAGGAAACCACACACAAGCTGGAAAACAGACACAATAGTCAGCAGCAGTGGGAGGTAAATGTGAGAAACGTAGAGAGGGGTTCGATGTGTGTTAACAACAAGTAAAACTGATGATGAGCTTCAGAATGTCTTACACTATGAAAATATAATAACTTCCAGATTATCAAGAGACATTGCTTCTGGGTCAATTACTTTTTTTTTGGTCTGGATTAATTAATTTATTTACAAATACACTAAAAATACTACTTCAGTTTACCAACTCAATGATCAGCAGATGTCTGAATTCAACATGAATGATATGCGCATTTGCATTCTGTCACAGTTGGATGACGTAAAGCCCACAAAATGAGTAGAAAAAAAAAGGTTTTATTAAATCCACAATGGAAAACTCAGGAGATTGTAGGATAAAATGTAAACACAATCACTTTTAGCATAGACAATACCGGACAAGGTAACTGAGGGCTTAAATGCTGAAAAGGAGTAATCAAAGTGACCAGAACTATTTAAAGGGATACTCCACTTTTTTTTGGAAATAGGCTCATTTTACAACTCCTCCAGAGTTAAACAGTTGGGTTTTACTGTTTTCGAATCCATTCAGCCGATTTTCTGATATTTAGAAGAATATGAGTAACCAGACAGTTTCTGGTCTCGTTGACTGTCATAGTGTATTTTTTTCCTACTATGGAAGTCAATGAGACCAGATACGGTCTGGTTACTCATATTCTTCTAAATATCAGAAAATCGGCTGAATGCATTTGAAAACGGTGAAACCCAACTGTTTAACTCTGGGGGAGTTGTAAAATGAGCCTATTTCCAAAAAAAAATGGAGTATCCCTTTAACAACCAAGGAGACTGACTACTAGCAGGCAAAACAGGATATACATATTACAGATCTGTATTAAAGTTTTTTTTTTTTTTTAATTATACTTGATCATTGCTACCTTTCTATCTCTTGTGTGTGCAATACACACTCATTTGTGGAACCAGGATTGTATAAGATAATTAAAGCATAAGGTGAAAGAACATTTCAGATCAGTTTCTGTTTTTAGCAACGCCAGCATTGTCCTTGACTGACTGACTCCCCTTGCATGTTCCCAATAGTGTTATGTAAGCCTCTGAAATGTACCGATTTTGCATTTTTATTAGTCATATCAAAATGGCATTAGGAGTGAAAGATGTCAAAAACAGTAACATTACAATTGGGTTGCCATCAAATAAACGTTGAAAATAAACAGTATGGTTGCGGTATTTAATTATCATTTAACTAGTGTCTCAGGTGCACAGAGGCCATGTCAGGGTCACAAAGGTCATATCATTAATGAAAGACAATCACTGGGGTGCCATAAACTACAACATGGTGACTGAGCTAAAAAGACTCCAGGGCTCCAAATTAAATGGCCACCTTTATGTTCTAACTGTATTGGGCTGTCCCTGTTTGTGTAGACTGATTGATTGTTCCCTGTTGAGCCTGCCATCATGCTTTATATTAATTTGACCCGTGGTAACCTTGGAGTATCCACTACTGTGTTATGTCATTTCTCCTCTGTTTTCTATTCTCACCCATTTTGTCCTTCTTCTGTTCTTTCTACTTTGAATAATACCTTCTGTTCTAAATGACCCGGGGACAGAGCACAAAAATCTGCAAACACATCAGAGACCATCTGTGATGTCTGAGTCTTGCGTATATTATTATGTGTGGTGAAGGTTACACCTGCAGGATAAGCTCTTATTATAGTAAAAATTCAAATTCTGATATAATTTACTCTCTCACATGTCATTTGAAAACCTTTCTTTCTTATGTGGAACACAAAAGGCGCTATTTAGTAGAATATCCAAGCTGCTCTTTTCCATTCAGCAATGGAAAAAAAACACAACTGTGTTTGATTACATAATTTTATGGTAAGTCAAGCCACCTCACAAGCGAGGAAGAATTACACAGCAATAAAACAGATCTTATAGTCTCCACAATCAGACATTGATAGAAAGCTCATCCCATCTGCGTAAGAGCTCGTCTTAACTCCCTGAATAGAATGACACGCAGCCAAACTAACTGCAATGACTCTAAGTAGATCTGACTAGCAACCGGATGCTTACAAGCATTGGCCATAAGAAATCCTCCCCATAATTACGCTCCCATTGAGAGTGAGTGTTTCGCTCAAGTCTCTCATAATCCTAATTACACACAATTACAAACAGGCACATCATTACAGTCTGTTACAGTATGTGAGAGAGAATGACACAATGATGACCGTTAGCCAGGAATAAACCACCAGGTAACAATTCCCACCCAGCAGCATTTTCTAGTAAGAGCTAAATTATTGTCAGGCTCAGGCTCCAAAATAACATTTTTTGGTAACACTATATTACACAATAAGGTTTTATTCGCTAACTTTAGTTTACACAAAATAAGAATGAACAATACTTCTACAGCATTTATTCATGTTTACTATTAAAATCAAAGGTTGTATTTGTTAACGTTAGTTAGTGCACTGTGAACTAACATGAGCAAACAAAGAACGACGGTATTTTTAACTAACATTAAAGATGAATAAATACTGCAGTAAATGTATTCCTCATTGTCAGTTCATGTTAGTCAATACATTAACTAATGCTCACAAATGAGTGTTGAACATACTGACATATAGTGTTTACTGAAAAAAATTACTTAGGATTTGCAGCATAATTGATAGTTTTAGCTGATTTATTAGAATAACAAAGGCAAAATATTTGTATTGTAATAATTAAACAAATAAATAAAAGGATCATGTTACACTGAAGACTGAAGTAATGATGCTGAAAATTCAGCTTTTGTCAAAAATAATATTTAAATACATATTCAAATACAAAACAGTTATTAACAAAAATCTTACTGACCCCAAACTTTTGAATGGTATAGATTCAGTGCTAAAAAGCCCACTAAAATATGTATTTTTCCATTTTATTGTGTTAATTAGGCCAGACAGATGAGCCAGACAAAGTAACCAGTCACTAGTCAGTCATCTTGGGTCTAATCAATACCTATCCGGGTAGTGATGATAGAGTACCAGTCATTGTCACGGCCCATTTAGCAGGGGCCGAATGAGGGTGTTTGAAGAGTGTGTAGGTTTTAGCAATATAGTTTCAATAAAGATAAATTTGATTCCTGAATTTAAAAACATTCTTTATTAATTAATATTCACTAGGAGTATTTTAAACAATTGGGCTAAAAAGACAAAGTCATTTACAATTTTCACACACTTGCAGGTTTAGAATCTGTTCTTCAGCTGACATCTATCAGATTATTCATGCGTGTACAGAGGTATCAAAAAGCTGTTAGAAAAAGTGAGAGAAATCCTTTGTGTCTGGAGTGAGAGCCACAGGAGGCAGAGAAGCAGACAGTCTGGACATCAAATCAGGAACATGTTCTCATGGATAGAATGGTCTGCCCCTTTCTGTACAGATTTATACCGCATGTTCTGTTTTGCAGACTGACTCAATTCATCTACAATATTTAAAAAAGAGAAAGGCATTTATTCCTCTTTTACAGATCTAAAATCATTAGACTGCTAATATCATTAGAAGCTAATAGTTTTAAGGCAAAGATATAGCCATACGCTACAGTTTCCCTGAATTGCATTAAAGTGTTAATACAATAAGTAGTTTATTTTATTTTTATTTTTTTTACTGCACTGGGATTCAGAAACGTCAGAGACATTTAGGCAAGATAAACGAGGAGAGTAAAAAGGGAAGGGAACTGCAGGAACAAAGCAGATGTTGAGGCATGAGTATTTTTGTATCATGAGTGAGTTTGTGTGAACATGTTTGAGTGAAGCATTGATAAGGGGATGCGAGTTTGACTGAGCCTCTGACCTCTGATATTATGCAACTGGATCTGACTCACTGTCTTGCCTCAAGGGTTTGCGTGTTTGACACTTCAGGAAAGCACTGCAATCAGTGTTGCCAGACGTACGATAATTATAGCTGTGCCGAGTGAAATCTGAATAATTCCCTTCTTCTGAATCTCACAGAGAAGGAGAGAGTGAGTATTAGCTGTCCATGAGCAGCATCAGGATCAACTTTATGATGATTTTGAGCTTCTGGTACGATACTTGGATGTTTCCAATCTGACAGTGCTGACTGCAATAAGATACTTATAATAGCATAATACAAATGTATATTTTAAGACAGTATACCGCATAACCATTGAAAACATCTTCGAGTGGTATAAATAATAATTAAATTGGTAAGTAATAAATTGAAGTAAGTATAAAATTGGGTTTTTGCTTTGTTTCTATATAGTATTATTCTAATTATTATTATTACACTGCTATACTTTGCTGATTATAAATTTAACATTAATAATTCATAGCGACAACACCTGGAGGACGACCAATGGAAGTGGAGCCTGTGGCGCAGATGACGAGCAGATGAGACCACACTGTAAAAAATAATCCTGTAAAAAAACGGTAAACTACTCGCAGCTGTGGTTGCCAGCATCATATGGTAACTATACGGTGTGTTACTGTTTTTGTGTTAGAGCATATAGCTGTTAAATTAAAGTTTTATACTGTAGATGACAATACGGTATTTAGCTGTTAATTTCAAAAACAGTAACACAACGTATTTTTACAATTTTATGAGAAGTAATAGGTCAACTTGTAGAATTATACAACAGAGAATTAGAACAGAGAGGTACAATAAATCATTTGTACCTACAGCAATCAGATTGTATAATGATCAAGTACATCGCAAGTTGTTATAGTTTTAGTCTTTTGATAATATTATACTTTTTTAGCGTTAAATGTTGGATTGTGATTGTCAAATCCACAGTATTGTTATTTCTTTTTGTGTCTTTCTTTTAATGTTCTTTTTTTAGAAATTTTTTTTTAGTGACAACAGCGCGTAATGAATGACCACATGAATTTCCCCTTGTGGGATAATAAAGTTTACCTTGACCTTTTACGGTATGATGCTGGCAACCACAGCTGCCAGCTACCGTTTTTTTACAGGATTATTTTTTTATAGTGCAAACGACACAG